TTAACTTGTTAAATACTAATTAATTAAAATTACCTTCATCACTGCCTTCAGAAATTATCAATAATGAATATCTTAATTTAAGTACAATTGGACTTCAAAATAAACGCCTTAAATATTTTGTTCTATTTTTTAAATTTCCTTCTTTTCTTCTTAGCTACTTTATTTCTAATACCTACTTGGCACTACTGGTATCAGGTATACATAAGCTTTGTCCCAACATCTCACAAAACCGTAATATTACGGTCATCGTCATGCGCAGTAAATAAAAACCGTTTGACTTTGGGCTTTATTGATAGGTTTTTATTTACTGCGCATGACGATGTCCGTAATATTACGGTTTTGTGAGATGTTGGGACAAAGCTATAGTCATTTAACATTCTTTTTTGAGAAGTCTTTGTATATTATAATAGTTCTTATTTTCCACAGAACAGTTAATACTACTACTATCTTATGTACAGATAGTGATATTTTATTTTTTTTACTAAAGCACAAGGTACAAATTGTACAAAATAGATTTTTAACTAAATTATAAAAAATTAAACAACTTTTCTTTGTAACAGCGCCTAGGTTTAAGAAAACCTGTATGCGCCTATTTTTATTCCTACCTAGTTGGATAATATATATACATTCACACAAATACATATACCCATACATAACACATACACCTACATACATATACACATACATACATATACACATTCACACATATATGCATATATATGCATTACATTTTTTGTTTGTTTTATACCTTTCAGCTATACCAACAAAAATCGAAACTAAAACTAAGATTATTATACTTAATTATCACAAATATTACAATTATCACAATGAGAGATAAGAAGAAAGTAACAGAATCAACAAAAATCAAAATAAGTACAAAAAATGTTCACAAAACCACACACTGCAAGGACATATAGTACTTTTATATTGTTAATTTCTAAAGAATAAAGTTGGTTAGTAGTTCTGCACTACTTTCAGTTGAGTAAGATTTGAGCTGTACATCCCACCCCATACAACAATGCAATGCCTTAAAAGGGGCTCAACAAGTAACTTCTTCGCCATAACATTGCGCAAAATATAAAATTTATGAATAAAAAATCTAATTTTTTTGTTTAAGTAAAGCACATGTTGATCCCATTTCAGGTGTTTATCCAGAACAACCCCCAAATATTTAATATGGGATACTTCTTTCAAAGGCTGTTCTACATTGTCAAGGCTAATGTGATCAAAAACTGGTATGTTAGCCATTGTTATAGAAAAGGCAATGTAATAAGATTTTTATTATATTTAAAGTTAATTTGAATGTCTCTAGATAGTTCTTAATTTTGGCAAAACCAGTCTTTACTTTTTTACCCACCAATTCCCATGTCCTCGCATGAAATACCACCACAGTGTCATCAGCATATGCAATTATCTTACCATCAAAGGTTGCAAAGGTAATTAACATAAATATTAAAAAGAATTGGGCCAAGTACTGTACCCTGTGGTACTCCATGTTGAACCATCTTTGGTTCGCTTAAAGCCTCTGCAATCCTGATATGTTGAGTTCTATGCATCAGATAATCTGCAAAAACATTCAACACAGGAGCATGGGATGCGATACCGTATCAAATGCCTTTGCTAAGTTCAAAAACAAAGTAATGCATTTATCGCCATTATTTAAATGACACATAACTTTCGACACCAGTTCATAAATTGCATGTGAATTACTTAATCCCTACCTAAAACCAAACTGATTTTCAGATAAGAGCTTGTTAGATTCCAAAAATTCAAGTAATCTAACCTTAAGACATTTTTCAAATATCTTTGCTGAATTTGAGATGATACTTATTGGTCTATAGTTACCTATATCCTCATCTCCAGCTTTATGAATTGGGGTTACTACGGAGGTTTTAAACTGTGTGGGTACTTTTCCTGTTTTAAAAATCAAATTAATTATTTGAACTAAGGGATTTAAGAGATGGATATGTAGCTGTTTGATAATTTTAGTAGTCAATTTATCTAACCCCAGAGAGAAACAGTTTTTTAAACTCATTATATGTTCAATAATTTCATTATGGTTTGTCAGTTTTAAGTACATTGAATAGAGAGGGCTATTTAAAAATTGAAACGATCTAGAGGGACTTTTAATTTTTTCGGACATTTCTCTGCCTATATTAATAAAATAGTTATTTACAAAATCAGAAATTTTATTCTTTTCAAAAATCTTGCTTTTCTTTTCATCTTTTATGCAACTAATATAACTTTTAGTTAGGTTTTTGTTTGTTGCCTCTTTAACCAAATTATAAATTTTTAAATATCATGAGAGTTCTGATTAAATTTGTCTTTGTAATAGTCATTTTTTGCAGATTTAATTATTGTATTAAGGTGATTTCTATATTCTCTGTATTCCAAAACCTTTGCTGGAGATGGGTTGATCCTAAGAGTTCTTTTTTGCCTATCTAGATGTTATTATTGCATTTGTTATCCATGGTTTAAGCTTGTTATAACTATTTTTGGTTTTTTTTTTTAAATTTAGACTTCTCTATAATTAAACTTAACTTTCCTAAAAGATAATTTAGTTTATTCTTGTTAATACATTTAAAAACATGTTGACTATTTGATGCTGTGGAATTTAGAGTAAAATCATCTGAAATGTGAAGCATAAGAGGTAGATGGTCAGTTATGTCGGGTTCTATAATGAATGTATCTATTTTTCTAGAAAAGGTTTTATTTTTATCTCTTAAAAATATATGGACAATGCAGGATTTACTTACTTCTCTAGTGACTTCCTGACATAATGGAACAAACCCATGCGAAAACATTGAGGAAAGATATCTATTTACATCAACATTGTCCCTATTAAGAAGATTTATATTAATATCACCCATTAAAATATCAATGTTACTATTACTATTTACAGTAGTTTCAAAAAACACATCCAAGTCATTCAAAAAATCATTTATACTCGAGGAAGGAGACCTATATAATGCAAATATCCTATAGATAATATTTTTCACAGATAATGTAATTTCCATTACAGTAACACCTGAGTTTTGCAGTTTATAGTTAACAAAATTTGGGTTTAAATTTAGCTTTGAATAGATAACACTTCCATCAAAAGTGTTATAGTTACCATTGTTGTAATATGATACATACCGTTATATCAAACTGCAATACTGATTCTAATTTATGACATTCAGTCAAAACTATAATATCACAGTAATTATTAATATTATAAGTTTCTAAAAGTATCAACAAATTATTAAAATTGGTGGTCAAACCTCTGTTTATATGTAGAATATTGATAAGTTTTTTTACTACATTTACCGTATTGGACAGATCATTCAGATTAATTTTCAAGCTACTTTTCACATACTCTGGTATGATCTCAAAAAGTTCGGTTAATATTGTTAACACATTAGTTAATCTAAAAATGGGATTTATTCACCTATATTTGTTAAGAATATTTCAGTGGTAGTATATTTCGAAAAATGTATTTATTGAAATCCTTTTGAAACTTAAAGAAAACCTTTAAACAATAAAAAACCACTAACCTAAGTGTTCTGAATGTTTAGAACTCTCTGCGATCTCGGCAAACTGTTCATGTTGCTGCTCCCAGTCATCTAGGCTAGATAAATCTTCTAGGGCCCCAAAAGTTTCATCATTGAGGGCATCATACTCCTCCTCATTCTCCAGACATTCATCATCATCATCCGGTGGAAGTATATTGTCACCATTCTTAAACAGATGGTCCCGATTCATTATTTACAGTTATGGATGAGAATTATATAAAATATTTTTTATTAATGTAACACATATATGTACTAATCAAAACATGACTATATTATAACGTATCTATTTGCAAATAAATAAATTGCATTAAGTTTTTAAGTGGTAAAATTATTGCGCAAAATAGAACTTGTCAAACGGAGAAATTAACCTAGATAAAAAATTCTGGAATATACTATTTTTCAATGAACACTGGTAAAATATTGGCTACTCTGTTCAAATGAGCAATTTAATATAAGTAGTAATCAAAAAAGGTATACAAAAACAAACTAAAAAGATCTGTTTTGACATCAAAAATATATCTAATTTTTTTTTAATTGAAAGCAAAACAAGAGGAAGGTGTTTCCACAAAACTTTTATACTTAGAAAACTGTTATTATATCTTACGTTTAAAGAGGTATCGAAGTCAAAAAATGTATTAGCCATCGAATTTTTTGGAAAATATCATTTCTCTCATATTGTCTGCACTAACATGAAGTTAATTCAAGTCAACTGTCATATGTCAACTTCATTTCTGACACTATTCATTTCTTCTATTTTAATACCTTTTCTAATACATATAAGCAATTCTGTAAATACTTTTTATATAAAAGGTCCGTATTTATAAACAGAACATGGGCCCGTATTTATAAACAGAACTTACGTGAGTCGGACTTGGGTAAATCGTCCTTGAACTAAAATCGAAGTTCGGTTATAACGTCTCTAAAGTTCTAGGTGGTTCTGGTGTTTGACTGGAATTTAGAGATGGATATTAGTAAATATGTAACTGTTATATACATTTACGGATTTGTTACTACCTATCTCTAAATTCACGCGATATAACCGAACTTCGATTTTCGTTCAAGGACGACTTACCCAAGTCCGACTCAGCTGAGTTTTGTTTACAAATACGGGCCTTGGTCACATAACTGAAATTCCAGTTCTGTGGTAGTAGTTAATGTAATTGTACGCAAAAAGAAGAAGCATTATGTCAGTGCAGTGTCAGTTCAGTAAAAATGTGTTTTGTGGTATAAACGTCAGAAAATGAGGAAAGTGTCAAAAGTTAAAAATCACTTGTTTACCATAAAAATAAAAACGACTATAATATAATTACTTTTTCTAAAATTAACCTACACATAATTTATACAGTCTTTTTCTCTTTCCGAAGGTAAAATTAGATTAAATAATAACTAACAGCTTCATATTAACTTTATTTTACTATTAACTGTTGCAGGTGTCTTTTTTAAGAAATGGAAGAAAAAATTGACGAAGAAGAACAGGGCCAACTTGTAACTAACAGTATTCCTCTATTTATTAAAAAACTATGGAAAATGGTTAATGATAAAGATGCAGAAAATATAATAAGTTGGAATGAGACTGGTGACAGTTTTATTATACACAATCAACTGGAGTTTATAAAAAACTTATTACCACATTATTTTAAACATAATAACATGGCTAGTTTTGTTCGACAGCTTAATTTTTATAGTTTCCACAAAGTTCCTAATGCTGAAGACAAAATTGAATTCACTCACCCCTGTTTTATGAAAGATGTTCCTGAAATTTTACCATTTATTAGAAGAAAAAACCCAGTTCTAAAGCAGAAAGCTACAGTAAACCAAAATGAAAAAGAAGTTGAAGAACTCTTGTCTGATGTTAAAAATCTGAAAGGAAAACATACCTTAGTAGATAAAGAACTTGCTATGATAAAGCAAGAAAATGCAGCTTTGTGGAATGAATTAAACTCATTGAGATTGAAGTATACAAAGCAATCTACAATAATAAACATGCTCATTCACTTTTTAATCACTTATATACACTCACATCAAACTTCATTTTCAAAGCCAAATATACAAGTTTCTTCTGATGAAAGTAGTGGAAATAATATCAAGGTTGGTCCAACTCTTTTAGAAATAGGATATAAAAATAATAAAAAACAATTCAATAAAAGTAGTACTGAACCTTACACAGTGATAGAACCTTCAACAAGTAGTTCTATAACTTATTCTGTGAAACTTCCTGAAAATAAATCAGAATCACAGAGATCGAGGAAAAACATACAATCTCTAGATGAAATGGATGATCAGACATATCCAAGTTTGAAAAGGCCTAAGAAGAAGCCTTTGACATATTCAATAAAGTTACCTGAGAGCCAGTCTGAGAATTTGAGCAGGCCTGAAATTCAAAGATCACTTCTAGAAATTTTGAAAGAAAATGAAAGGTAAAAATATGTTCTATATTGAATGTGAATGTAATAGGCATTAATAGAATGTGTGAATAATGCTGACAAGAGTTGCTGTATGCAATGTGTTAGAAATAATTATTTTTTATCATATAAATTATGCCAATCAAAAGTTTGAAATACATACCTACATAATTACATACCGTAAAGTCGGGTAACTTTGACCTGTATGGGTGACTAGCTCAAATCAGTAAATAGTTATTTTTGTTCACAAAAAATTATACCTCCTATTTTTAAAATAAAACTCAAGCTGGTTGAATTGTAAGGTATTAAAACTACCCAAAACACTTTAAAGACAATTGGATGCTTATGCTTTTTGTAGTATAAAAAATTGAACTCATTGCAAACTAATTGAAATTGAAAGGTGATAAAGTTTGTATGCAACCAACAATACTGTTGTTTGTAATATTTTTTGTTATCTTTACCATAAGCAATAAAAAATATTTTTTTAATGATAAAATGCGTTTTACTATCAACTGTGATGGGTGGCTTTAAACCAGCAAGTAATATTATAGAGAAAACAATGTAAAATGATGGGTGAGTCAAAGTCACCTACCTGCGGGTGGCTTTGCACACCCCTTTTTTATTTGAAAAATTAGACCATTTGAGATATTTTTGCTTAATAATTCTTAAAATATAACTGAAGATTAAATTATGACGAAAATGCGAATTTGGATTTGCTTTTATTTAACAATTAAAACTAGGTTTAAATTTTGACAGTGAGTCAAAGTCACCTGACTTTATGGTAACACTATAATATACAGATTTGGAAATTGAAAAGCGGACCATACAAGCCAAATCAGCTTAAGTGGAAGTGAATACGAAGTTGCATATACTATGCAGGAGGCCACATGACAGATAATGCCCTACTCACTTGTCTTTGTTTGTTTCATACCTTGCCCAATTCATTGTAAAATAGATGGTCCATTTTCAGATTTCCCTACCTGTAATATAATTAAGATCATTTATCTCATAGGTATTATGATACTTAAATTTGAGATACTGTGTTTGAACCAAAACCAAAGAGCTCTCATTAATCATAAAAAATAGATTTAAATCAAAAATAATCTTACCTTTTACTAAATGATTTAAATCAAAAGACCACGAGGGGTAAACACATCCAAAAAATGTGTACACAAGAATTCCTGACATAAGGAATACCTGAGAATTCCTGGGAATACCTGAGAATTCCCGGGAATACCCAGAGGCTTCCTGGAAATACCGGGAGACTTCTCAGGAATACTCAGATAATAACTGGTGTATTCAGGTAATGCCCGAAAAATATATGACAATAACCAAGTATTTCTAAAGGTTTCTCTAGAGTTAGTAAATAAAGTCTTTGATGAGGTCCTTAAATTATTAGGAAAATAAACAATTGTTCCGGATTTATTAACTCGATGATTAGCATTTTTCCCTCTATTTAGATATTTTACTTTTGATAAAATATGAGAAGTAAAAAGATAATATATTAACAGTAGAAAAAAAATATATTAACTTTGGAAAAAAAAACATGTTAATACATTTAATTTTTTAACATTTCGCTTTCTTAATATTTGACAAATTAATACACATGTAATCATCAAAACTAAAAAAACTTATTTGTTTTTTTTTTAAACATCCTCATAATTTAAATATTTTATAGCACTGAATTCTTTCCGTGCGCGAGAGCAGCTCCAATTCACTTTTGTACTAATGGATTATTTCTGCCTATACTGACAATACAATTTTTAATAGAATTCGTAACTAAAAAGTATACAGGGTGTCCCGAAATTAGACGGTCATATTTTAACAGCATAATCTACATACTAAAATAGGAATAAAAGTTCATATAAACATAGGTCCCAAAACGTTTCGTTTTCGAGATACAGGGTGTTATAAGTGAAGACCTGATGGCACATTTTTATAAATATTTTCTAAAATTTCTTTAGTCACCGGTTTTCCAAAGTAAATAAAATTTCTGATTTCACAGGCCTACTAATTATTGTTTACATTTTCGAATAACATCATGAAATTTTCATATGCTTTTTTCTTGAAAATGGTGCGTCCTAGCGAGATGCTACAATAGTAGCTTTATTATGAAGAAAACATTGGTTTTCCAAATTTTATAGTTAAAAATGGTAAAAACTGTCAACAAAAAAAACTTCGGGAAATTTTACCCTAAGCCCCCCCTAATTTACCCACCTATGAAGATGATCAAAAACTGGGATTTAGTCCATTAAATAGAGCGAAAAAAGGTAAGCATTTGTGTCAAATTTGACTTTGTTATCTTTAAACGTTTAGAAAATATTTACAAAAGAGTGTCATCAGGACTTCACTTTTAACACCCTGTATCTCGGAAAAGAAACGTTTTCGGACCTATGTTTATATAAACTTTTACTCCTATTTTAGGATGTAGATTATGCTGATAAAATATGACCGTCTAATTTCGGGACACCCTGTATATGTTAGTTTTAATAAAAGTATACGGGTTTGTAAAACAAGTAAAACATTAATTTATTATTAGTATATATTTTTATCGCTTATACAAAAAAATTAAGTATATTCAATAAAAATTAATAATACAACAAAGGCAGGCAACAAAATTTATTGGAAAATGTATGAGAAGTTGCCTAAGTCTAATAAGTTGTCTTTGAAGAATTAACCTGTTCTGTCAAAATAAAAAAATATCTTTAAATAGCGTGAAGTTAAAATGTATAAACAGAAGGATTGTTATTTATATTTTCAATTTTGTTCGAAAGAAAACAGAATGAATTATTAAAACTGGTTTTCTATCAGTAAGTCACAAAATTGCATTCCAGCCACATACAATAATCAAAGGCAGAAATCTAGTTCTTACTGCATAAACATTTAAGATTAAAGGGATGTTGAAGAACATCATAAAACGATATTTATTGTTTATTTAAAACCTTTCAAAGAACCCCGCACAAACCTTATGGAAATTGGCTCCCGGTCAAATTGGCTGAAATTTGGATATGTTGTTCGTTTCGGCATCCTGAGCAACCTCGGGGTCATCTATTTACTCCTGAATTTTGTCAATTTTGATTGTCACATACTGTTTGACAGTTTACTGCTGTCAACTGTCAATATCGAGTTGTTAGGAGGCGATAATAGCATAGCTTATACAATACAGCTAAAACACTCTCTTGGCGGCAACGGTTTGCGTCGATTTCGTCGCGCATCCCTTAAGCTCCGCCTTCGGAGGGAAAAGATGGTTTTGGCGTTCAGAAGTGTACTTAGGTAAGGTGTTGAGTCGTGCGTATAATTTCGTTGATTGTATAATTTCGTGGAGCCTATAATTTCGTTGATTTTGTTTGAGTTAAAGGTACTGTTATTATTTTGGTGACTCTTTAGCTGTGAGTAGAATGAGTGAAAAAAAAGACATCATTCTGTTTGTGCAGTCAAAAGCTGTTTTAATAAGGGTTATACCTGCAAGAAAACATTCTTTAGTTTTCCCAAGGACCCAAACCGATAAGTAACACATTATAAGAAATTTTCATTGTTAAAAATATAATTTATACAGGGTGTCCCATTAGTGCGTTATTGTTCATTATTTTGTTGTAGACACGCAAAAAAGTTTTAAATAAAAGTTATATGGATTTGAAAAATACCTACATATTTTAAAAATATCTTTGGATATACAGGGTGTCACGTTTTTGCCTGGCAAATTAAAATGTATGTTTTTTAAATGGAACACCTTGTATTTTATTTTATGATGAAATTATTAACACCCTAAATTATTGTAAAGACGAGTTGCTACAGAAAAAATTTAACAGGTATGTGTGTGGTTACCTTTTAATAAAAGCCTTGCGGATCCACTCCTGTGATACCTGTCTTAAATATAACAAAGATCACGTTGAATTAGATGATTTTTCTTTTTATTGCTTTTTAAAGGCATATGATAACGCCAATTCAGATACATTTGGAAATCTGCAACTGTCAAATGATGAATTTGTAGAACTAATATTCAATATTGAAAAGATATTTCAAAATAATTTTGAAAAATTGGCTACAAAAAATAACATTTGTACCACACTTTTAGAATTAATTAACCCAATACCCTTTAGTCATCCATGCTAACGTTTTCCAAAAGAATAACCTATTTTAATGTATGTTTAATCTCAATAACTAAAAAACTATACTGACAATTAGTTTGACAGAATTGTCATTTATTTAAAATTTTAAAAATAATAGCAGTCGGTTGATCAAAATATGAACGGTGATTGGAGAATTTTTTTTTGCAGTGTTCTCACTACCTAGAATGGATATGAAATATATTCGTTCAATTGAAGGCAATAGCATACTTCTTCGTTTTGTAATCTGTGCATGGATATTAGCCAATCTATGCACATGCTACAAAACAAAAAAGTATGCTATTGCGTTCAACTACAAATATATTTCATATCCATTTTAGGTAGTGAGAACACTTTAACAAAATTAAATCTACATATCACGTTCATATTTTGGTCACCCAACTCCTATTATTTAAAAATTTTTAAATAAGTGACAATTCTGTTAAACTAATTGTCAATATATATTTTAGTTATTGATATTAAATATACATTAAAATTTTTGTGTAGACTCGATAAATAATAGCATTTTAGTTTTTATTGTGTCCACATTTAAAAAAAAAAATTTTAATCAAACTACATGATACTAATTTAATTACGAGTATTAAAATTAAAGTCCTGAAAGTTTCGGTGAAGATGAGGACAGAGCATCTGCCTTCCACGCGAAAAGCCAGGGATCGAATCTAGGCCGAGGACTAATTAATTTTTCATGTTTATTTTATTTTATAAATTAGTCAACTTCGTAAATTATTTTAAAATTAGTTATTTTGTCTAAATAACCTAAAATATTTTTTTAAATTTGTAGATTTTCGTTAGTGGGTCGTAGAAAAAATATACTGACCATATCGAGTGGATTGTTCATATCACAATCAGACGATTGAGTACTCCGCCTACGACGTCGTGCTCAAACTT